GGGGGGGGAGCGTGCCGGAGCAGCGCGCGGGGGTCCTACCCTCACCTCTGCCACTGTCTCGCTACACGATCCGAGGTAGGGTACCCGACCCGCCTCGTGCCTCAGTTTCCCCCCTCTAAAGCCAGGGAAGGAAGAGGCGTGAGCTGAGACCAACGAGGGGGTCGAAACACCTCACCTGTCCGGTGGCGAGCACAAGGCACGGACACGGTTTCTGGCCCCAGCGCCATCCAGCATACTCTGATTTCAGTTGCACCGGTGTAAAACTTTGACTCTGGTGACTTACTCGGCCCAGGAAAAAGACAGGAGATTTTTCTCTGCTCACTGGGGGCTCTGCACAACCCGCACCTCTACGTCCCGAGGCTGCTCCTAACTACGCCCCGCGGCTGCTCCTCGCACCCTCCCCGGGGATGCCGGGCAGGGGAGGGGGGATCCCGTTCCCCTTCGCCTCCCCGTGTCCCCCCGCTTCCCGGGAGCTCCTCCGCCACGGTCCTATCTGAGCCTGGGTGCGGATGCCCCCCAGCCCCGGAGGAGGGTGAGGGGAGGGCAGAGCAAGCGGTACGGGAGCGGAGCGGGGCCCGGGACGGCCCCGCCGCCCTCCCCGCGGCACGCAGCGCAGCCTCACCTCGTCCCCATCCTCGCTCTCTTCCTCGCTGCTGGACTCCGAGGAGTCGCCGCCTTCCTCTGACGAGTCACCGTTGTCGTCGTCGTCGTCCTCGTCTTCGTCATCATCTTCCTCCTCCTCTTCCTCCTCATCGTCGTCCTCTGACTCCTGTGGGGCGGGAGGGGTTGGTCACGGGCAGGGGCCCCGGGACACCAGCACCCATGGGTGCACCACCCCATCCTTGGCCATCAACCTTTGGGCTCCTCCATCCACCAAGCGGGATCAGGTGGCTCCTACCCCACACCTTGCCTGGGAGCCTTTCTTTCCCCATTTATGTTACAAACGGCCCCAAAACACCTCCCGGAGGGGATGCAAGGGGATGGCGTAGACTGCAGGGGGGCAAAATCAGACCTGGGTGGGTTCTGAGCACAGATTTGGGGAGGTTCCTTGGTTTTATTGTGTCAAGGAAAGGGCAGGCAGCAGAAAGCACCAGGGACGCCTCAAATGAGAGGTCTGGGTCCCCCTGGGACGCCCTCCCCAGGGAGAAGGGTGCTGGGTGTCCCCAGGGCAGAGCACGGCCATCACGCACGCACCGACTTGGACTGCATCGTTGGCTTCATCTTGGGGTTGGGGCCCCGGATCTTCCCTATGCTCTTGCGTTTCTGCAGGGGGGGAACAAAGCAAAACCATTTAGAGCTGCAGGGCTCGAGCTCGGCTCCTTCCCAGTGCCCGGCACGGAGAAAACCCCACTGCTGAGCTGCTACAGGGGAGAATCCCTTTGCAGGGCTCTCCTGAGCTCAGCTCATCTACCGCACAGCCTAACCTCACCCAGGGCTGAGCCCAGCCCAGCCCCGAGCCCCCAGGTCCCCCCCGCGGCGGTGCCAGGTGGATACTCACGTTGGAAGTGTGTTCCTTGTAGGCAGCCCGCTCCTGGGGTGAGAGGCTCTGCGGAGACAGGGGAGACGGTCAGGGTGCCGGGAGGGCAGGGCAGGCACGGCGAGGGGGCACGGAGCGGGGAAGGACTCTACCACAGGGCACCCCCTCCCCACGTATATTTTTTTAAAGGCTCTTTAAATTACAAAATGCCAAAAAAGGGCCTAGAGATGGTGGTTTCCCAGAGGAAGGCTGCGAGAAGAGACCACACCAAGCATCCCCGAGGACCCCACTGCCCCCCACCGCGCACGAGGGTCCGATGCTCACCTTGAGCCAGATGTCGAGGTGCACCTTGTACTGTTTCTGCTGCTCCTCTGCCAGTTTTTTGTAGTGGTCCTTCTGGCCCTGGGAGATGCGTTGCCAGCGGCTGGCGATCTCCACCATCCCCCCCCTCCGGGGGGGGGGGGTCCGGCCCCCCCCCGGCAGCGAGGTGGTTCAGCTCCCCGTTCGACAGCAGCTCCTGGGAGAATTTCTGGTAACCGTTCCTGCAAGCGGGGAGCACAGAGACCGGATCAGACGGCGTGCGTGGACAACCAGGGTGCCCACAAGCAACCCGCACTAACCACTGGCCACCCCCACCGTGGTCCAGCCCACACTCCCTCCACCCCGGGGCTGCTCCAGGCTCTCGCACCAGCCCGCCTGCCCAGCGGGGCCAGCCAGACCCAAGTTTTTCAGACCCCAGACCCCAGGTACTCACATAGGAGGTTTCTTCGGCTCTCCCTGGAACTTCATTTTCTTGGCGGAGTTGGTGGAGCATGGAGGGGCCCGCATCTCGCTCAGCTCCCTCTGAGGAGAAAGAGGGGTCAGGGAGACAGGGGCAGCACTGCCGCGAGGGCACGGCGAGGGGCAGGAAGGAGCAGGGACCCACCTCGTATCGCTTCTGATCCTCCGCCGCCTTCTTGATCCACATCAACTTCTCCTTCTTCTCCATGTTGTTCCAAGTGGCCTCCATGGCCTTCAACGCCTTCCCCCGGTCGTTCTGCAGCACAGACCCCCACACCACGTTACAGATGCACCCAAGATGCCTGCGATGCCAGGGGGCTACTGCTGGCTCTGTCACGGACCACGGGGCACCCGCTCCCTTGCTGGGACCCCTGTCCTCCCCACGGCTCCTAGCCCCAACCTGTTGCCTTGTGTGTGAAAGCAGGGGAGAAGGTGCAAGGCAATTCCTGCT